TGGGGCCAACATCAGGGCATCTGATGGCAGTGAGGGTCCCATCCCAGTTCTCTAGCCCCAGGCCTCTGCTTCTTGCCCCCACTTTCTCAGACCCTGGGGACATTGAGAGGGAAGATTGTTGCTACCTTTGTTCAGGTGAGGTGCTAGGGTCCAGGAAGTCCCTGGAGTGGATGAAGAGGGAAGCTGGATCTGAGACTTAGTTTTTAGAGGGCAGGGAGCCCTGGGTTGTAGTTCTACATGAGGCTCAAGGAGAATGTACAAGTATTTCTGTAGACATACCTGTGCGTGTGTGTATATGTATCTTGGTGTGCACACGAGTCATTTTTTATACCTGTGTATGTATGTATACCTGTGTATATGGAAATCTTTATTGGTAAATGTGCACAATCTGTGTGTCAATGTGCATTTATGTGTTGTTTGAGATGTGTATATTTTATACATCTCTGGGTATTTATGGATAGGCCTATATGTCTGTGTACATCTGTGAATGTGTATGTCTGTGTGGCTTTGCATCCATACGTACTTGAATCTCTGCGTTCATGCATCCGTGTGTACCTGTGTGTCTTTGGCTGGTATGTTTGGGAGTGTGTTTACAGGCCAGAGTGTGCCTGAGTACACCTGTGTACAGGTCTATGTATGTGTGTGTACATGTGTGTGTATCTATCTACAGGCATCTGAGGGGATGTGGAGTTTCAGGAACAAAAACAACAAAAAGGAACAAAGGACCAGGTGTGCTTTCTTTCTAAAGGTGCTGGAGACGATGGAACAGGATCGGACGGGATCAGAGCACCCCCGGGTGAGCGGGTGGTGAAGAAGCAGCAAGGACAAGCCCCTTGAACATGAGCAGGCCTCTGGCAACAGGATAATGGGCTGGGCATTGCCATGAGCCTTGCCAGTGCTGGGCCCCAGGGGCTGCCTCCAGATGGAGACCTGTCCTCTGTAGAGGGGTTTGTCCATCTGCCTTGGATATAGGTTGGGTCAGGAAGCTCCTAATCACAGCATGTTGGTTCCCCAACAGCATGGAAGGGGAGCTGCCTTGGGGGGTCAGCCCCCCCTCCCCCAGGTCCCTGCATTGTGTACTGCTACAAGCTAATCCTTGATGCTCTGCTTCTAAAAGAACAGTCAAACCTTGCTGTAGGGGGTGGGGGGTGGGAAGATAAGCAGTAAGGGAAGCTCTGCATAGGTAGCTCTGGGACTGGAATTTTAGCTGAATAGTAAACCCCCTTTTCTCAGCCTCCACTTTTCTCCTTGATGGGAAATTGGCTCTAGCCAACCCCAGTAGTTCAGTATCCTGCCAGTCAAGACTAGAGGTAGAGGGAAGGAGGGGAAAGGGTGTTGGTGGTGGCTCAGAGCCCTTCAGTCTGAAGCTTGCTCCAGGCAAGCCAGTGTAGATAAGATATTCCCCAAATATCTAATACTAGAGGCCCAGTGCATGAAATTCATGCATGGAGGGAAGATCCCCTCAGCCTGGCCTGCACCCTCTCCAATCCGGGACCCCTTGGGAGATGTCCGACTGCCTTTCACAATCTGGGACCACTGACTCCTAACTGCTTGCCTGCCTGCCTGCCTGATCACCCCTAACCACCTCTGCCTGCCTGATCACCCCTAACCACTTCTGCCTGTCTGATTGCCCCTAACCACCTCTGCCTGCCTGATCACCCCTAACTGCTCCCCTACAGGCCTGATTGCCCCTAACTGCTCCCCTGCTGGCCTGATCGTCCCTAACCACCTCTGCCTAGCCCTGCACCCGGGACCCAGGATTCCCTCCTCCGGCCAGTCGCAGGCACCCGGGACCTGGGCTTCCCTCCCTCTGGCCAGCTGCAGGCACCCAGGACTTGGGCCAGCTTTGCCCAGGCTGGCCACAGCTGCAGGGGACTGCGGGGCGGGTGGCTTGTCCCTCTCCCGGGCCACAGCCTGGCTGGTCCCCATTCCTCTCTCCCCAGTGTTGAGTGTCTGAGCAGTTCCTGCATGAGGGTGCGAGGGCATGAGGGTGTGATGACCATTTGCATTAGCTCTTTATTATATAGGATTGTTTGTTATTGGGCCTCAACTTCAACCATTATATATTCATTCCTTTGGCTGTTTAAGGCCTTTCAGTGTTGAATGGCTCTTGATTAAAAAGCAAATACTCTTAGGAGAAGAAACTCCTGAGTATGTTATTTATTAATACCTCTGGGAGATTGACTGGTAATTTGCTGAGAACAAGGTTTTGTGAGAAGCAGCACAGAAGAGAAGGACACATGGAACTGTCAGTGGGCATGGGGGTGGGTGGTGAGGCTAGTTGTGGAGAAGAAGAGCCATTGAAAAGGAGATGATGAGGCAGAGAGTGCTGCACTCACTATTTTCTCTTCATGGGGACCCAAGAAGACTATTTCCTGGGATTCCTTGTAGTATCGTTGGGCTCCTCACCATGCCACTGAGTCTGGCCAGTGCCATGTGGTTGGAAGTGATGCAAGCAACTTCCAGGACTGGCCTTTAATGACCCCTACAACCCACCCATTCTCACTTTGCTTGCTATGTGCCTCCGATGGTATACTCCCTGATGGAGGGGGCTGCCTGGTTGACTTCGTCATGTTAAACCTTGAGATTTTGCAGTTTATTTGTTACTGTGGCAAAACTTGGTTTAGCCTAACTGAAACTCAGAGGAAAGAAGGTGTCGACAAATTTCCTAACTTTCCCCCAGGCAGATGTAGCACAGAAGTCAAGATCCCAGGCTCTGGAGTCCTGAAGTCCCACTTGCCCCATTTCAGTTTTTAACCTTACTCAGCCTTCGTGTCTTCTTCTGTAAAATGAGGGTTGAATTAGACAAACCCTCTAACGTATGTAGCCCATTGCTTGGCCATGGCAAGTTCTCACTAAATGTTAGCTTTTGTGCTGAGTAATTAAAGAAGCAATGTAGAGTTAGGAATGAGCATGGGTCCCAGTTCCAATTTCTATATATTGTTTCTTTTTCTATTACACAGGATCAATAGCTGAACACAGCAGCCTCACCAGGGTTGGTGTGTGATTATGTTGGTGATTGTGCTGAGGACACCATGAGGCAGCAGAGAGGAGTTTGCTGTTGTTGTTCCTGCTGATATACCCCTAAGTCCAGCACACAGGGCGGTCACATAGCTCAGCCGTGGGGAGGACAAGGTCAGGCTCACACTCATGAGTTTACACACTTGCTGGCAGGCTCAGGACCACCCAGCCTGGAGGAAAGGGAGGGGTTGGGGGAAAGGGTTCCCCCAGATATATCTGCCTAGACCTCCGCCTCAGAGAACATTCCTGTGACCCCAGCCTCCTGAGAACTGGGTGCACGGGGGTGGGAAGGCAGGGTGCCTGTGGGCCTCTGGGTGGAGAACATGGTGCTGCCTTCCACTGAGGTCTGCTGGCCAGATCTCCAGACACTGCCGATTCCCAAGGCTGCCCCCGGGGAGGTGTCATCCCACCTTCCTGAGGATGGGGCTGGGATGAGGCAGAGTCAGGGGACGGGAAGGGACCTCGTGTGGGGGAATCTTACCCCTTCACCCCCTGGGGTAGGGGGTCACCGGGGTGGGGCCTTTGCAAGTGCCCATGGCTTGATCCTCCCAAACTACTCCCAAAGATGCCTCTTCCGCACATCTCCCCTGTCCCCTGCACCACTGAGGAGGGGCTGGCCCTCCATCTACAGTTCAGCTCCTTTCTGCTCAGCCCTCAAGGTCATGCCCACACTCCAGCTCCGCCAGAGGTGGTTCGCCTGGAAGCTGGTGGAACATACTTCAGGGCTGCTCACTTGCACGAGCCCCTTCTAATACCCAATTTTGTATTATTTTTTTAAGATGCCCCAAGATGTATATGCTTCAGGCTTCATAAAACCGAGATCTGCCCCCGAGCTCTGCCTGGGAGGGGAAGTGGAGGCAGGGTGCACCTGGCGCCCTCTCACAGCCCTGCCAGCGCCCTGTCCTTCCTCCTTCCCCAAGTGCCAGGGCACTAACCACCAGACAGTCAAACCACGAGACAGTCATTTTCCATCTGCTGCCTCAGTTCGCTGTCGGTAAATAGGAGAGTCAGACGAGATGGTTTCTAAGACCCTTTAGTTTCTGGCATTAGGAGACTGACCACCTTATCAGGACCCTGTGGGCACAGGCCTGGCTGACCAGCTGCTCGCAGGGCACTGGGGCTCACTGGGGCCTTTTCACCAGCATTTCAAGGAGGATTGCTGGCCTCCGGGAGCAGGGCCTCAGGTCCGGGAATCCCCTCCCACCGGGGTGGCCAAATCCGGCTCCTGCAGTGAGGGGCCCAGATGTGTGTGGGTACCTCTAGGGTCCTGGAGAGAGAACAAGAATGGCCCTGGTGTGGGGACAGAGCTGTGGGGTGAGGTAAGGAAAATTCACCGACAGTCACGCCTCCTGTTTCCTTCTCATTTGGGGACCCACCTGAGTCAGAGAAAGAGAACTCACACCAGTCTCACTGGTCTCCCCTCAAAGGGGGCCCAAGTTCCCGGGGCCAGCCTGGGGCTTACTCTTTATTAAGCTGAACCTAACCTTGGTCAGGGTGGAGGAGGCTGGAGCAGCAGGGCACACCCATGGGAGTTGCCCTTCCTCTTGTGAGGTGTGGGCAATGGAGACCTGGGTTCAAATCCCAGCTCTCTCGCTGCCTAGCTGTGTAATCTTGGGCAAAGGATTCAGTCTCTCTGAGCCTCCGTTTATCTTCAAAACGGGGAACCTAATACCTACGTCATGGGATTATTCTAAGGATTAAATGAGATAGTGTGTGTGAAGTGCCGGGCACTTGGCAGGCACTCATTATTACTATTATTCTCTCTATTCTTTGGAAAGGGGAAGACTCAGGTGCTGCTGCCCCAGGGGTCCTGGGAAGCAGACAGGGGCCAGGCAAGGGGTGAAGGTGAGAGTAAAGTCTCAGTAGGGGGCACTGGGAGACCCAGCCGCCTTCCAACTGTGGCATCATGGGGTGAGCAGCAGAAAGGAGAGCCCTCCCTCTCCCATCCTCCTTGCCCGGTGGGGTCCTCTGTGGGGAGGCCTGGAGCCCAGCAGTGAGTGTGGGGCCCTGGGTGGGGGCCCTAGTGGCCGATGGAGAAGGCCCCTGAATCAGTGGACTGCTTCTCCTCCGGGGTCTGGTCGCTGGGGAACACTGGGTTGGCCGAGGCAGCGACCTTCAGCGTCGTCTCGTTCACCTGCAGGCAGAAGGCTGGCATGAGGGTGCTCTGACTATGGGCAAGGACCCCACTGGACAGACTCAGCAGTTGGGGCGCGCAGCCTGGTCTTTGGGGAGCTACAGCGCGTCTGTGTGATCCCAGGACTGCATCCATGCATCTCAAGGGCAGACAGCCCAGAGCCAGCCCATAGCAGGATTTCCCTGCCCCAGAAATGGAGAGGAGACGATGAGCGGCTGGGGCAGCAACAGCGACCACCCACAGTGCCCCCATGGTTCTCACAGAGCCCACAATTGGCCAAACACCCTCGGGTCTGGACCCCCAGTATGCACTGAGGCCCAGTGAACTTCCCTTCAGAAGCCCCTTCAGAAGCCCCTGGACGGTGAGCCGCTGAGAGTCCCTGGGGCCCAGTGGCCCTCCCTGCCCTGTCTGGCTGCCTCTCCTGGACCCCACTCACCTCCTCAAACTTCTTGGCTTTGTATTGGTCGGCCCCCTTGAGGAAGTTGAGCAGGATGATGTCACAGAGGACAGTCCCCTGGGGGAGGAAAGGAGGTCAGGCCTTGAGCTGCCGGGCCCTGGGCAGCACTGGCCTGGGGGCGGGGCCGTGTTTGAGTCTCCGCCCCCACCTTCATGGGGAGGCCCAGGAACTTGTACCAGGCCAGCCTCCTGCAGATGGGAGGCTGCTGAGGAGGCAGTGAGCTCCCCATGACTACAGGTGACAAAGCAGGGCCCAGCTGAGCAGGGAGGTGGTGCAGGAGACGGAAGCACCTGGCAAGAGGCTGGGCTTTCCAGTCTAGGCTGAAGCAGGGCTTACCTGGGTTCAGTTCCCTGTCCACACCTGCCAGCAGGGGCCTCACCCTGACTGGCCACCGGTCAGAGCCTGGCGGGGCTGAACTCACCACTCCCACGGAGGTGAAGGCTGCCACGGAGCTGATGATGGTGGGGATGATGTTGAACTTGCCTGCCTGTGTGCACAAAGACCAAGGCGAGTGGGCGGAGTCCAACAGGGCAGGGGTGAGGCCAGAGAGACCTTGGAGCAGCAGGCCCCACCCCTTCATGGTGCAGGTATGGAGACAGGAGGTGTGAGCAGTTGAGGGTCTCAGAGTTGGTCAGCAGCAGGACCCTACCCCTCACCCCTGCCCAGGAGCCTTCTCCGGGCCCAGGGTTGGTCTGAATTTCCTCCCCTGTCCACCCACCTGCCCAGCCCAAGGACTCACGTTCCCGTACACCAGCACGTCGAAGCGGATGCCAAAAGCCTTTAGGAGCGTGCGGTACTCGCTGCCATTCTCCAACTTGTAGTACTTGGCAAACCTGGAGGTCAGAGGCAAAGGTGGGTCCCACTGTGGGCTCCTGCCTGAACCTACGGGGTCCTCGGGAGCCTACGACCGTCACTTCCTGCGCAGCCCTTACAGATGGTTTGGTGGGACACCTGCCATGGTCCAACCTGTGTCTGAGTCTCCGCCCCCAGGTTAGCCAACCCCCTTCACAGGCAGCATCTTGGGGTGCTGGTTAAAAAGACAGCTTCTCAGGCTCCACCCTGGACCCAGGAATCAGCATCCCTGTGGGTGGGGCTCAGGACTCTTCCTTTTATTTTTTAAAAATATATTTTATTGACTTTTTTACAGAGAGGAAGAGAGAGGGATAGAGAGTTAGAAACATTGATGAGAGAGAAACATCGATCAGCTGCCTCCTGCACACCCCCTACTGGGGATGTGCCCACAACCAAGGTACATGCCCTTGACCGGAATCGAACCTGGGACCTTTCAGTCCGCAGGCCGACGCTCTATCCACTGAGCCAAACCAGTTAGGGTAGGACTCTTCCTTTTAAATAACTTCCCTCAATAATTCTGACGTGTGCGAACGTTTGAGCCAGGACTCCATGCTTCCTCAGTTCTATCTGCTTGGGTGGCCCAGGGCCCGGCCTTCTCCCCTCTCTGCAGGTTTCTCAGCTGGACTGGGTTTGAAGCCAGGCTCTGCCACTTACCAACTTCCTAATCCTAAGACACAAAGGCTTGGAGGAGAGGGGCTGGACCATCTTCATGAACAGGATCAATTAGGGTCTGGGGGTGGCGGCAGAGAGCGTCACAGACCAACTACATGGTCTGAATTCAAGTTGCACCAGCAGGAGGGGATGGACCCCAGAGAGGAAGTCGTTTCTAGAAAGATGAGGAGGTCCAAGAACATGACTCTCCAAGGAGGCCTCGCAGGAGATTTTAAGGAAGTTTGCAAAAGCAGCATCAGGCCCAGGCAGAAGACTGCGGGAAACCCTCACTGGCTTTCAGGTTGGCCTGAGCCTAATTATGGACCCTCACCACCTCCACACCCGCCATGGACAGAGCACCAAAAGGATGCAAACCTATGAGCATCTCCTCAATGTCAGGGAGCAGACTCCGGTGACCCATTTTATAGATGAGGAGACTGGTGGGAGGCAACATTGACAGCTCCAAAGGCCCTGCTCTTTTAATTTTAATTTTTATTGACTTCAGAGAGGAAGGGAGAGAAAGAAAGAAACATCAATGATGAGAGCCTGCAACCTGGGCATGTACCCTGATGGGGAATCAAACCGTGACCTCCTGGTTCATAGGCCAACATGCAACCATTGAGCCACACTGGCTGGGCAAAGGCCCTGCTCTTAACCTGAACGCCCAGGGGCGGCCCTGGTGCCAGACCTCAGAGTCCTTCTGCGCTCTGTGCCCTGTCCCCCTCCGCTGGAGAATCCAGGCCTGGACGAAGACCACGTGTGGGGAAGAGTCCCCGCTGTCTGGGCTGTGGCAGCGGAAGCCCGTGGGCACGGGGCAGGGGTGGGAAGGCGAGTGGCTGAGGTCTGGGGCAGGGCGGAGGCCGGGACTGCGTCCTGTCCCGAGGTCTGCGTTCCTGGCCATAGGCTGCAGCCACGAAAGATGCTCCGCCATCGCCTGGGAGAGCAGAAAGCCGGCATCCTGGGCACTGCCTCTCCCAGCGAGGGCTGGCTAAATTTATCTCGGGAAGGAATGTGGAGGGAACAGGGAGAAGAACCAAAGCGGACTTGGCTTTTCTCCAGGACCTGCCTTCCAAGAGGCAGTACGCATGATAAGATCATTATCTCATCCACCACCCACCCTCGGAGGAAGCTTGGCAGGGCCCGCTCTCTTCTGGGGCGGGAGAGCGAACCTCAAGCCGGGAAGGAGGGAGGGGACCAGCCGGAGGCAGGGGACCGGCCGCAGAGAGAAGGGCCCAGGAGTCCTGACTTCTGCACTCCAGAGCGGCCGGTGGGGGTCCCAGAATGTGGCCCGACCGTGGGGCAGAGACTGGGCGATCACGGGGCTGGGATACCTTCCCTCTTGGCATGCGGCTGGGCCACGTGTTCTAGCCCCTGGCATCTAGCTGGGGCCCCACCTCAGAGAGTTCTTGCCAAAGAATGTGAAGGGAGGTTCGGTATGTGACCTCTGGGCCCACAGGTATCAGAGCGAACCCTCCTCATCCTCCCTTTCCTCATGGCTAGTTGCTCAAGAGCCAGGGGAGCAGTCAGGGTGTAGGGGCCACTGAGTCAACAGGTGGCAGGAGCCCAGACCCCTGAAGGCTCCTGAGCGCTCCGCCCCCACTGGTCCCTGGTGTACTGTGCCAGGAGCCACTGAGATGGGTTGTTTGTTACCGCGGTGAGCAATATTTAACCGCTTGCAAACTCCTGTGATTTTATAGCCAGGAAGCCTGAGTTAGAGGATGAGTTAAAACTGGGGAGTCATTCAAGATAGAGAGAATTCCAATGATGCTACAGTCCTATGAGGCTAAGAAAGTCCTAGGAGGTCTGGGTGCGACCCCACGGTGTTTTTAACAAGCTTTTGACTCCACGCAAGTCACTCAACCGCCTGAGCTTTTTCTCTCAACTGAGAAATGAGAGTGAGGAAGGCCAGACGAGACAGTGTCCAGATAGCGTAATTAAAGCAAGATCTAGTAAGTGCTTAAAGCAGGTCCTAAGATCAAGATAAAGTGGACTCGTAACATCTACATTTTCCTTAACTATCACACCTCCTGTCTCCCGGCGATAATAGTATTAGCAACAATAACAGACAACGTATATATCGATTGGGTGCTTACTATGTGCCTGGCATTGTGCTATGCGCTTAATGCCAAGTAACTAACTCATTTAATACTCATAGCAACACCAAGGAACTTAGTGCCGTTTCGATTCCCATTTACAGAGGAGTCACCAGGATCAGAGAGGTTAAGCAACTTGTCTAAGGTCACAACAGCAATAGTCAAGTGAGCGAAGCTGGGATTCGAACTCAGGAGGTCCTGTTCAACCGCCCAGACTCTTAGCCTGCATTTCAGATGGTTCCTTTTGATGCCCGATTTCTGTCCAGTCCTGGCTCATTTCTTTTCGTTCTCTAGCTGAGGGCCCCCTTTTGCACCTGCAGGGCGGGGCTCTCCACCCAGAATTCCTGGCTGGGAGCAGAACAGGAAGGAAAAAGAGCCATGACGTGTCAGAAGGAGGACCCCCCCAACGCCTCATCTGAAAAGGCGAAAGGCTGAGCTACACCTGCCCGGGCCCAGATTTCTCCTAAATCCTCTGATTCCTACCTCTCCAGCTTTGGTTTTCTTGGTTGAGAGATGGGGTCAGTGAGAAGGACACCACTGTTCCGCACCTTGGTTTGGAGTACAGGGCCCCTCCCAACCTGGCCCAGTCCACTCCCCTAGCCTCCTCTGCAGAACGTCCTGCCCTGCCCCTCCAGTGCCAGCCACACGACCTGCCTTCCTCTATCTCCTGCGCCCGCTTCCTAGACACAGACTTCTGGGCCTCTGCTCATGCGGCTCCCCTCCTTCCCTCTTCCCCCTTGCAAACTCCTATTCATCCGTCAGGGTCCTGCTCAGTGACTTCTGATTCTTTCAAGATTTAAACAAATATTTCGAGCACAGCCACTGTATGCCAGGCACTGTGCCAGGCACTGCTGATACACCGGCAAGCTCTGCTGTCATGAGAGGGAGAGAAATATTAATCGCACCATCCATGAGCAGCTCAAATTGGACTTCAGGGCTGGGAAGGAGAGGAGCACCTTTCTCAGAGCACAGCCCAGGAAGGCATTTGACCGAGGCTGGTGGGTCAGGGAAGGCTTCGTGTGAAATAACTCTAAAGCTGAGGCTTGAGGGTGGAGAGTTAAAGGTAAGAAACTCAGGCCCTCTCAGGGGAAGGCACAGTGAAAAGGGGAAGCAGGAAGTGCACTGGTCTGGGAGATTGGAGATGCGTGGAAGAGGAAGTGTCTGGTGGTGTGTCTCTTCCCAATCCCAGGTGCAGTGATTTCACACTTGCAGCTTGAAACTGTCCACAGCGGAATATTTACACCACAGAAATCGGCAAACACACTACAGAGCAAAGTGCTTTCTTCCTTTCTCCAGAGAGCCGGTTTCTGGTTTCCCAGCACCGAGGCTGTGAAATGCCTCCGGGCTACCTTTCCTGTCAGGAGGATGTGAGGATCCAGGCTTTCCTAGGGTCCCTGCCACACCAGACTGCAGGTGATAATTTGGACTTCTGACTGCGAGCCAGCTCCCACGTCCCTCTTTGCCCAAGGGCCCAGCGCAGGGAATGCTTGCCGGAGGAATAAATGTTTTCACCTCCCAGATTGGCCTCCTGGTTTCCTCCCCCTGCCTCTGGCTGCCCCAAATTATCCCTGCTCTTCAGGTAGAGCTAGTCTACAGGAGCGAACCACAGGCTGTTCTCTCCCAAATAGAGAATATCTGGATCCGGCAGCTGGCTGCATGGGAAAGTAGGTGCTACTGGTTCCCGCCATAGGGAACCAGCCCCGTGGAGGGGGACTGGGGAAAACGCAGGGACAGCTGTACGTGGAGCCCTTGCTCCTGCTAAGCACTATGCTAGAGGCTTCCACACCCATCATTTCATTTGGGCCCCAACAACTCAGTGGGGGAGCTGGTGGCTTAGGGCTTTGAAATGAGCCAGTCTGGCCTTGGATCCAGGTTTTGCCACTGAACTCCTTTACATAACCTGACCTCTGCTTCTTGGTTTCCCCAAATGTGAAAGGGTGGCACTAGCTGAAGGGTGGATTCAGTGTGGTTGGGGGAGGGCTGAGCTGGGGGGCACCGAGCTTTCAGTACATTATCTAGTGGTCAGCAGGCAACAGTCAGACTTTCCAGGCCTGAGAGAAGCACAGCAGGGATCAGAACTCGGGCCCCTGGAATCCTAAGCCTCTGCCCACCCCCTGCTGCTTCCTGCATTGCCTGCTTACCTCCAGCGACAGGGAACTCACTACCTGTATGAGCAGCCCACTTTCAGCTTTGGGTGGTTCCCACCGTTAGAAGCGCTTCCCCACGCTGAGCTGACA